ACCCACCCCCATATAGGCGCACCACAACATTCCCCAAATCAGCGCCAATTTGACATCTATCATTTTGATGTCAAAATAAATTCCTTCTTCTCAATTATTAAACAAAGGAAATACGTAGTAAAAAATAATGGGTCGATCCACATGGACTTAGAAAATTCCCAAATTTCGGTTTGAATTGCCTTCACCATGCGATATGCAGTAGATAAAAAAGGGCTTTTGATAATAAAAAAATGTTAAATAAGAAAATGCAATTTAAAGTAAAAATAAAGAAAATGGAGAATTTAAAGTTGAAAATATACATGGTTAAAATAGCCTCAAGCCTTGCTTTGACTCAATTTCCTTCAGATCATCGAATTATATTTTTCCCTTCGGGATTCACGCGGTTACTTTGTCTAGAAGGGCAATCCTCGTGACTGTACTTTGTATACCAAATACCCAAGGCAATCTTTGAATCTGGCTTCGAAAATTGATTTGATAAACATCAATTTTTGTAGATCAATAATCATTTAAGTTCGTGAAGGCCGACTAGGATTGTTGATTCAATAACTACTAATTCCGATCTCAATCCCCTCTGAGAGAGGCAATCTTGCCAAGTGTGTTCCCAGTAAGTCGAATGTGCTTTCAATAAGTTGATCCTTCATCCCACACATTTAATTGCAATAACATCCTGACCAAAGTTAATCTCTGATTTTGAAAACTATTTTGATTTTGAAAATAAGCGCAAAGATTGAGAGATATATTATGAGGTTATTCAAGTGCTTTTCAATTCTCAAGTTGGAATTGAGTCATCGCTTTGGCCCTCGGCTTATGAGAAAATTAGCTAAGCATGACAAAAGTCACACTTAGCATGTTTAAAAATAAAAATTAAAATGAAATAAAAATGAAAACTTGAAAAGAAAAGAAAAGAAAGAACTTTATAAAACCATAAATAAGAAGAAGAATGAAATCTGAGTTGTGAGTTTAGGCTTATCCCAAGAGGTTATTTATAGCCTCTAAAATCCTAGAGATAAACATATAAATTCAAAGAAAAATAATCCTAAAGATAATTACAAATGTTTCTAAATTCAAACTTTAAAATTAAAAATAAATCTCCTAAAATATCTCTGCCCGTCCAATTTCCAGAAGGTGCTGACTAGATCTTCTAGAAAATTGTTGCTGACTGGACCTTCTATAAACTGCCACGTCAGACCGTATCATGCCCAGAGTCGTGCCCATGTCTCTAGCTGTAACCAAATAATAAAAAATGCAGAATGTGCTCTCTTTACTGCTAATTTAGAAAGTAAGATCATGCACAAAAATAAACATAATACAACCAAATGAGAAGTAATAAATCCAGAATATCGAAGAATTAACAAGCAAATATTATCGATTTAGAACACTCATCAGTATATGAGGTCGAATTTTGAATAAGTGGAGAAGTTCTTATATCCTTAAAAAAGTGAAAGATTTGATAACGTCTCGTAGTTTGTTATTCAGTTATGAATGTAAGTTTTTATTTCCTTATAGATTTCTTTCAATTTGTTATAGTAAAGTTTGTTTACCACACCATATTTTATCATTATTATTATTAATCTATTTCATTTTTTTATTTTGGTAAACAAATTAATAACTTCTTCTTTTAATTTATGTAGCTACAGAGGAAGATGAGTTTGTCGGTTCTGATGTGGATTAGATTTAATTCAACAATTGATGAATATAATATTTATGTCTACTGATATTTTAAGATTTAAGAGGGTTGAATTTGATTCTTCCAAACTATTTTATTGATCTTTTAAGTTTTATTAAGAAAGTTTTATTGAGAAACTCAATGTAATTGAGTTTGATGTGCAAGAGTAGTAGCTACATATCACTTTTGATTCTTTGAATGAGAATTCTTTATTTGAGATTTTTGTTTCATGTTAATTTGTATTTATAAAAAGGTATATTTTTTCTTTTAAAGTTAATTAAAATATACAGTATTGAGTATACTCGCTCTTTGTAGGACGGGTGGTCCTTTTTTTTTCTTTGACGTTAATCGCTTGAGAGGTGATATTTGTTTTTGAGGTGAATTGGTCGTCCTCTTACTTGACCATCGCATCACCAACATGAGTCAACAAGCAAGGTCTAGATAGTAACTTTATTTTATAATTCTTCATTCAAATAATTTTTAAATTGTCTTAAAAAATTATCTAATCAAATATGAATATAATTTTTAAACTAAAAATTAATATTAAATCATTAAACTATTATCATAGGTGATACTGATATTCATTAAACTATTACCAAAGTTGGTGGCTAAAAAAGAGAATAAATCATATAATATTTTACTATCCACCACATTGTTAAAATATATATAAGAACAATAAATCACTCGTCTATTTTTAATCATTTATCAAGTAAAAAATGTTCGATTCAAATCAAAATGGGTAAATTAAAGTCGGTTTGCTTTCGGTTTGGGTTAATTTCTGTTTAGGTTGCTTTCGGGTCAGATTAAATTCAGTTCAGGTTGTTTTCAGATCGGGTTAAAATTCAGTTCAGGTTGCTTTCAGTTCGAGTTAATTTCGATTTGTTTTGCTTTTGGTTCGAGTTAATTTCGGTTCGGGTTGCTTTCAGTTTCGCTAAATTTTAGATCGAGTATGGGTTGGGTATCGAATCAAATTTGATTATGAAATTTGGGTTTATATCAAATATCGAGTCGAGTAAATCGGTTCAAGTAATCGGGTTTGGGTCAAGTTTACCAGGTCTACCCCTTAGTGACAATAGATGAGTTATGTGGGATTTGATAGTATAATTACTCGATATTATGATTCTCTTCGTATAATAAGGTTCGAATAACCTAAGTCATCAAAAATGGGAATATGGTATTTATATTTAAAACATGGGCCTTATAAGACAATTAAGAAGCTGTTGGTCTAACCTCTAAACTGCAAGACCCAAACTAAAAACAAATTGTCATTGCAAGATGAATATGAACAAAATAACAGTTAGAGAGGTTTAGATATGCAAACCTCTTCATTTATTTCAACTAATGGTACACTAAAGTCAAGGAAGGAGAGATACAAGTCAAACATTATAAAGAAAACAATTAGCTACTTATCCATAAGGTTTGATGGAATTTAGAAATATTGGTCTAGTTGTTATCCCACAAGAAACGGGACTGAAGTTGCTTAACAACATTGTTATCCAGCTGGAAGGCTTTGGAAAGAAGATCGGGATTGATTGATGGGTGTGAGCCGAACACTGCGTTTGCAATGGTGATAACACCTGGGTTTTGGCTACTGAGAGCAGCAAAGGCAACTGCATTAGTTTGCCCAATGTTGAACTGGAAGTAAATGAGACCAACAGGGAAGACGAACACATCTCCGGGTTACAGGACTATGGTGAAGAGACGGTTCTCAGGATTGGATGCAACAAAGCCTACCTAAAGGGTGCCTTGCACAACAACTAGAATTTCAGCGGCACGAGGGTGAGTGTGAGGAGGGTTTAGGCCACCGTAAGGTGAATAGTCAATTCGAACAAGAGAAATGCCAAGAGTCTTAAGTCCTGGAATTTGTTTAACATTTGCTTGAGTCACGTCACCATTGATCCTACTTAGTTTGAAGTATTTCCTGGAATGTTGAGGCCTGGAAGAAAAAAATCTTCTGGGACTGCAAGCTTTGGGTCCTAGCACAACTTTCCATTGACAAAAACTGCATTAATGGAAAGAATATATATTACCACTTGGCTGCTTCTCAATGAAAATACTGCAATGATGAAGTTTCAAAGAACATACCACCATATTTAGTATCATTAATTGTTACACAGAAATCCTGAAAGGGGGCTGGGTTCCGAAACTGAGGCAAGTTTGGAAGCCAAAGTCCACAGGACTAATGCTACAAGGAATCCAACACCTTTCATTGTTGTAAGTAGCAGTCTTGAACTTGAATAAATTCTTCCAGGATTTGTTGCTTTCTGAGGGGTGAGAAATCTCGTTTGAAAGCATGTCTATTTATGAATAGCAGGCACTGAACAGGTCCATTATCATTTTCTTTCTTTAATAATTCCATGTTAAAAAGGAAAATGAAAACAAATGAGAGATTTCTTGAATAAATTATTTTGTTTAAAAATAAAAACTGATGGAATCATTCTTTAACCTGATCCTATCTTCCCATGCATGCATATTTTGCAATGGAACTGGTCGCAGCAAATGTCTTGTTTAACTACTCTATTGACTTTTAAAAACAAATAAAATATCATCCAATTGATTTGGCTCTTTCACCATTTCAAAGTTGCAGTGTTCCTATATATCTAGAGAATGCTGAAGATTTCACAACATTTAATATAATAATTTAGCTTCAGTTTGCAAATGACATTTAACTCACTCATGCACGTTTATATCTAAGATTGAACTGTTCCGGAGAGACAAGCATTGAATATTTCAAAACAAATACTTGTAATTACTAAATCATTATGTTTTCTCTAAATTAATTAATACAACTCCAACGTGGTTAATAAGCTTCCCTGGAAAATAATTTGTCTTTACAAATAATAGAGATCAATACTAATAAAAGTAGAAGCATAATGAAGGAAAAAAGCTTTTATAAAAGCTTTTCAGTAGTTATTCTCAACCCACAGATCAAATATGCCTATTGTTATTATTATATGGCCTTAGCAACAAAGAGATTCTGCCCAGCAGGTACAGTTTTGTGTTTAAGCGCTTCAAATGAAAAAATGTTGTCAACAAGGCCTATTGTTAATATTATATGGCCTTAGCAACCTTGGACATCTGCAAAAGTCAGCATTGGAATGGATCAAGTACCAGAAAAGACATAATTTAATGACAATATTGACTACTTCCATGACAAAGATACTGATGTAAGAAGCATACACAGCAAGTGAGATTTCGATGAAGAGACCGGGGTAGCAGTCGATGAACAATTCATCAAAAATAATATAAAATAATGCACAAGACAGACTAGTTCAAACACTGTACTGTATAAATACTCGTGTTCTCCTGCAGAGTTCCTCATCCCCCCAAAGCAATCAAAATTACATTAATAAAAATGAAAAGTGCTCATTTCATCCTAGCATTATCTCTCTTGTCTCTGGCTTCCCCATTTGCCTATGCCTCTGATCCTAGCCCTCTCCAGGACTTCTGCGTAGCCATCAATGACCCCAAGGATGGAGGTATGTTTCCCTTCTTGTGCTTCAAATACATCTCAAATATTTTCATGGCATATATGGAAATAATAATCTTCTTTTCATCTCTTCATTTATGCAGTGTTTGTTAATGGCAAGTTCTGCAAGGACCCCAAGCTTGCCAAAGCAGAAGACTTCTACTATTCAGGCCTCAACATTGCCAGAAACACATCAAATCCAGTGGGATCGACTGTGACTCCAGTCAATGTTGCCCAAATACCGGGTCTCAACACTCTTGGCATCTCATTGGTTCGAATTGACTATGCACCAAATGGAGGCCTCAACCCCCCTCACACTCACCCTCGTGCCACTGAAATCCTACTCGTTGTGGAGGGCACACTATCCGTTGGCTTCGTGACATCCAACCCCGAAAATCGTCTCATTACAAAGGTTCTATACCCTGGAGATGTTTTTGTTTTTCCCATTGGTCTCATTCACTTTCAGTTCAATATTGGGAAAACCAATGCTGTAGCCTTGGCTGGTTTGAGCAGCCAGAATCCGGGTGTCATTACAATAGCCAATGCAGTGTTTGGATCAAATCCTCCCATTAATCCTGATGTTCTTGTCAAGGCTTTTCAATTGGACAAGGATGTGGTGAAAAATCTTCAGTCCAAATTCTGGTGGGCTAACAATTAAGGCGTGCACCTATAAACTATATCTTCATCTGTACTTGGATTCAAGTTGGTCTTTTGTTTGGAATAAATTTTCACCTGTTTCTGTTTATTCTTTATAGTAGAATTTACATGTTTTAAAATAAAATAAATAAGAAAAGGGTTGGTCATGTAGCTTTAAGCCTGTTTGTTAAGCAATGAAATTTGTTATTTTCATTATTGTTAATATGTCTATACTTTTGGTCTTACTTTGCAATCTATTTCTTTCGCAATAGGACACATCTTATTTTAATTCAGCACATTTTAAGTTAAATCTACAGCATAAATTACGCAGATTCTATTTTCTCTTTGGCTTTCCTGGTTCCTCTACGTTTTTGTTGTTGATATATTGTTATTGATTTTCTTTTTAAAGATATATGTTAGAGATTATTACTTGAGTTTTGTTTGGTTCTGTCCGGAAAGTGTTTTGGTGCTACCCAAATTGTGAAGAATTATTTTTGAGGAAAAAGAATGATTGTATACGGTCAATGTAAAAATTCTGAGATAGCCATACTTAATTTTATAACTTTGTTAATTTTGCGTACAGTTTTTAATATAATGAATTTTCTCTCATTTGCATTTAACGTTTTTATTCATCTAAGATATTTAAATGAAATTCGTGTTTATTCTACTTTCTTTAATTTTTGATGTCGTGCCTTTACACTGTTCAATTTCATAACAATGACCCTAAACAATATTTTATGATTTTCTTAAATTTTATGATAATAAGTAAATCGTTTTCTTTTACTGTACTTTGCAATATCACAATCTAATGACTTGTGTAACACTTTTGATATGGTCTATGAACATGTTTGGAAATACTTAACAACTGATGGTGCAGTTCTATCGTCAAAACGGTACCAAACACAGATGCACTAAATTCCTTAACGCACAAAATGGAGCAGAAAATTCTGCCAATAAATGAAATCGAATTTCATTGAAAAAATCGAAATACTTACTAATCTTGCAAATCTAATAGCTAACCTCAATGATATCTTCTTCTAATTATTCAACCTGGTAAAATACAATCATAATCAAGATTTAGAGGCACTCTAAAAGCACAAACTCATGTGATTTATTTTCAGAAAATGTATCAAAATCAGTTTATTTTACTTCAGGAACAAAATCCATCTTATTATCATTTGCAAATCTGATTTTATATTCTTAATAACATCTCAAAAATCACTAAGATTTATTGAATATCAGTGGTAATTAAATCAGGAAAAATCATAGAAAAAGTACTCTGAAATTCACCTTTTAATTTGCATATCCATAAATTAAAACAAGTGATCTTTAAGATCATTATTAATTGGATTTGTAATGGACTTGGATAGCCAAATGAGAATAATAGGACAATTGTAAGAGAGAATTGAAAGAAAACGAAATAGATTTTTCATTCGTCAAAATCAGCATGATAACTAGTACTATTTGTTCAAAATATTACAAGGCTTACTGATGATATTTCCGCCGTTGGTCTTTTTGTCAAGCAAGTACGTGCAATCTTTCAGTCTAATTCTGGGTTTCATATTACCTCTGCTCACCGTGCTTGTTATACTATTGCTCACAAATTAGCTAACTAGGCTATTATGACTTGTGGCTCTTTGTTTTTTGACTCGGTTTGTCCCACAATTATTTCGAGTGACATAATGGATGATGTAATTGATTCTTGATATATGGCAGTTGGGTTGTCATTCATTCCGTCGATAAACATCTGACACTTTTCGCTCTCCTTCTTGATGTATTCTGTCCAGTACTTGCAATATTTGCAGAAGTCGCCCATGTAACACCTCAAATTAGGGGTCAAATTATGAGTTTATGAAACTTATGGACAAATTTAGAAACTACGGGAAATACATGGACCTAATCCTTAATTTTCCCATTTTCTGTTAATGGTGAAAAATAAACCCGGCTAATTTTTTCCCATTGATTGGTAAGAGCCAAAAGCCCCAAAATTTTTCCCCAATTTCCCCCAAAATCCCTAACCCTACTGACTCCCATTTCCCTCGATTTTGTCGCTGTCTGACCACCTTAGCCGGCGCCGCTACCCCCAAAATGACCATCGTCTCACCCTCACCAAAAGCCTTCTTACCCCTCACCGAGATCGGTCGCCGTTCGACGAGATCGAATGTATGAAGATTCGTCAAAACCCCACACCCGCCAAATGTTTTTCCTTCAATTCTAACTGATACAAAGATCGTCTTGCCTCACCACAACCACCATTGAGTTCCTCAGTCTATTCCGACCAAAACCTGACCGAGATCGTCGCCAACGTCATCGGTTTCGTCCAATCACTGGCGTGGGTAAGTGTTTCGACACTTTTATTTATTTTCGATGGATTTTGGGTTGATGTTGGCTAATTTATTGATTTCAATTGGGTATTTGGAGATGTAGGAGAAATCAACTGCCCGGAGCAGCCTCAGTCGCCGTCGTACGCGTTGCCAGATGCTGGCGGTGCGTATAGGGCTTGTTTTAGCCCAAGGAAATTTCCAGAACCGAGACTAGTTGGCCTGACCCGTCTGATCCAACCCTGACCGACCCAGTCACTGAGTCAACTCGTTAACTTTAACCGAGTCAACCCGTTGACTGTTGACCAAGCGTTGACCAGTCGTCGACCACTGTTAATCGACGGTAGACCACCATTGACCGACCATTGACTTTTTTGGGTACACCTATTAAATTTATTTCGTCGTCCTAGGTCTGTTTTTGAGGCCTGTTTCTCCAAATTCGAACCCGTTAACATGTTGGTATTGGTTTCTACATGGATGGGTATAATTGGCCGCATGTATGTAGTAATCATTTCCTAAACTCGATTTGAATATTATAAAAAGTCGGTAACCGAATATGACTTATATGGCTCGCTTAAGAAAGTGGAAGATCGATCAGATATAAATCTTAGCTTAATGGTTTAATCAGTAAATCAATAAATCTCAAAACTCGTAAATTCTAATTAATATCATTAAAGGTTAAATGTTGGAAATAATTGGATACAAAATCAACAAAAATTAGCACTATGGGTAAAATTAAGAAAATACCCTTATTAAGTAAAAATGACCAAAATACCTCAAAGTGTAAAATGACTATACTATATGACCAAGTTGAACTAAGTGGAAGTATTGTATGTATTTGAATTGTGGAAACCACTAAATTACTCTTGAAACTCCGAAGCGATCAGGATAAGCTTGACTACTAAATGATCTAAGTACTCTCAATGACATAGAATTAAACGAATGACTTGGATAAGTCTGGAACCTTGATGAGTTTATATGTTGTACATCCATAAGGGTTTTGAACCACAAAATAATCATGTCAACATATGGAATACCGTTGGAACACAGTAATGATATAAATACCATTAGGATACTTGTTCGTCTCCCTAAGAACCTTTCAGTGACGGTCTTGATATTGACCAGTTCAACTAGTGCATTCAGTATTAAAAATGAATAATAGTGAAGTATTACGGCACGAATGATTGACAAGTATCATAGTGTTGGGACATGTAGCTCAAATGGGACTTGAAATCCTGCTAAATCAAAATTATTAAATCTTGGAATTTCAAATAACTTTGAATGGATATATCTGTCAAATTACCATAAAAAATACATAGGGTATCGAACCCTATTAAAGTAACTATATTATACAAATGACTGAAATACCCATGAACCCTAAAAAGATTAAAATACATGGAGCTTCAAGGTGAGTGTAGTAATCTCAAGTATGAAAATGATCGAAATACTTTCATGACCTAGAAATGAGTGAACATTATTGGATAATCCTAGAAACAATGAGAAAAACTGAATATGGTATTGCCCATAAAAGGTTGAGGAGTGTGACTCAATTACGTTGGTCATTCTGGAGACTGTTGCAATTCATAAGTTGAGCTAGTACCATCGGAATAAGTATAGTTCCTTAAGTCCAGTTCAACGATGGTTCTGAAGATGACCAGTTCGATTAGTACTATCGATATTAAAGTGGTTTACAGGTATCACAATGTTAGGATTTGATCAGTTCTAGTTGATCCAATATCCTATTAAATTGAAACGAATCTTGAATACCATGAATCATCGATTCATTGATGTGATCCAATTCAGCATCATGGATATTCCACCCTTACAATGGAGGAGACTTTCTAACTTTACACATATATATGCTTATTTCAAATATCTTAATATAGTTATTTTCATTTACATATACTATATCTATAGCTATTATGATGATAACTTAACCATTAATATGTGAGATATAAGTTATCATAATATACTATAGTCACGGTCTTATAATATACACATTATATAAGTTTATATACTTAGTTTATTTCTTTATGTTATGCATGTAGGCACATTCAGCCAACACTTGGGAGCTGCATTGGAGCTAAATGGAGCATGAAACAGCAAGGAAACTCACATAGGGATGCTTAGGAGATCATAAGGACTCATTGGTGAAAAGTTATCCGGAGACCCGTGAGCTCATAGCTGGATTGAGCTGAAGATTTGAGCTACAAGATGACTTTATTTCAGCTGGGGAGTTGCACTATCATCATCACCACTTAGGACACTTCAAATATGTCCTAAGTTAAAATTTGTGAAATCGTACCTTTTCGCAAATAGTTGCCACCTCAAAAGGTACCTTTTCACAAGGAGCTGCCCAAACGTTCACCATGTTACAAGTCATCTAAGGCCAGCTCACCTCCAGCTCATTCACACCCAAAGTAGCTCAAACATGAAGGGTTACCTTTCTCAAACATTGTGACCTTTCATGAATGATGATGCCCATGAAGATGCCTTTTCATCTAGAAGCACATTGGTGAAGAAATTGCAACCATTGGAAGCTTAAATCATCATAAGGAAGAGTGCAATGCATATTCGGCCACATCACATGAATTGCACATGAGATTCTTTGGCGCCAAATATGAAGAGACACACCACCATTCGGCTAAGGGGAGACAATGGCGCCAAGATGAACCAACATACATATTCGACCAAGGGAGATGTCTTCCCATCATTAGTCAAATCATCAAGCCCCTTTATGAAGGGTTTGCCGACCCATCACAAGCCCAAATAACTTAATATTCCATTTTAA